CGTAGACTTGGTTGCATTTAGTCCATCTTTTGGACAAAATCAGGTGGAGGTTTTATTGGTGTAGTTTAGTTAACTTAGTATTTACTAACTTGCATTTAGCTACATGTTTAAGCATCTCTATGCAATACTTTGTTGATCACAGTTTTTCCTAAGAAGGCTGTAAACAAAGGGCTGAGAGACCTGCAATTAAACAGGCCTAATGATTTAAGAACAGTGTGTCTGTGATTAATTGTGTGCTTCTGTGTAATTACAGTTACTCAGTGCTTTCATTCAAAGCGCTAACCTGTGTTTTGCCTCTTTGTCCTCTGCCACACAGAATTTGCATATGGAGGCCATCCATACCCTTTCAGTGGCATCTTTGAAATCAACCCCGGCAATGCTGCCGAACTGGGAGAGACATTCAAATTCAAGTGAGCGTGCTCCATTTTAGCATACAGTGCACTGTGATGCTGTTAATGGTGGAGGTGAGTGTGCTCACGTAACTCTTTCTGCTTTTAAACAGGGAGGCCATTGTTTTGGGCACCACTGACTTCACAGAGGAGGACATAGATAAAATCATGGAGGAGCTCGGTAAAGAGTTCAAAGGGAATGCCTACCATCTAATGCACAAAAACTGCAACCACTTCTCCTCCTCGCTGTCTGAGGTCAGTCTCATACAACTATGTTCCTCTAGGTCTAAGTAAAAACCTGTAAAAAAGACAAAAGAAATCTTCCTTTTCAAGCGAAAATTTGTGCACAGGAATACATTTAGAGCTACACATCGAAGGTCAGTTAAGTCATTACAAGCAGTCTTAGTGAAAGTTGTAAAAGTGCCTTCTGTGGTTCAGGAGGTTCATTCAGCATCAAACTACCACAGGAGAAGAACAATAAAAGGACAAACAGTTTAGTAGTTGTAAAGCATCCAGCTTTGGGGTTTTATATCTAGATAAAGATATTCAGACGTTAACACGAAGACACAGACAAAGAAGGCCTGCAGGTCAAAGACAAAAGAGAAGGATGAGGCAGAGGAAGGAAAAATTAGGGAAACCCTGAGGGAAGTAAACACATGAAGAACAATAAACTCAAAGTAGAAACTGTAATTCCATGGAAACTAGACTATAACACTGTCTGTACAAGAATAATTTAAAAAAACAGATGCATTCTATAAAGGAAGAAAAACAGAAACTCAAAATTAAAGCTATGCAAGAAGTCCCGAGTCACAAATAATCGAAAAATAGCAAAGACCCTAGGATTATGACAGATAGAAGGTTATCAACTTTGCTAAGATAATTTAATATGTTTTGTTTAACAACACATTGCCTGTTTGTAATTTTTTAGTAATGCTTTGTAAGCATCGTGTCAAGCAGTCATACCACCAAAATCCACA